ATATATATATATATATATATATATATATATATATATATATATATATATATATATATATGGGATTATACTAAGGATTAGGACAGCAGCAAAGAGAGAGGTGGCTTTAAGAAGTCTGTCACCTGACCCCATGCCTCTCTGGGCTGAACACAGCATAGAGTAAAGCCAGAAATCATGAATCTGAGTATGACCACAGAGTTAAGAAACTCTCTTACCGTTCTATGACATAAAAGTTGTCTCCATCATCTCCTTGGTCAATGACGTGCTCGTCCACTTTGACTAACCTTTCAAACATGGCATCGAGAACTTGAGAAAGCTGTTCCTAGAGGGCACAAAGAACAATGAAGGGCTTTTACACTTGTTGAAAAAAAAAAACCAGCATGTCTCTATTTCTCTTCATTTGTGATTAAATAATTGAAGTTCCTATACCAGACTGTTCCTGATATTTAAGCAGAAGCCTAAGGCCTGTCTGACATGAATGCTAACCGGCACAACTTCAAGTCTTGTTGTGTGTGTGCGTGCGTGCATGCATGCGTGTGTGTGTGTGTGTGTGTGTGTGTGTTGTTGTCGGTAGTGGGGCTTATATTCAGGGCATGGACACTGTCTCTAGCTCTTCTTCTTAAGGTTAGTGCTTTATACCACTTGAGCTACAATGCCACTTCTGGTTTTCTGGTGGTTTATTGGAGATAAGAGTCTCACATTCTTTCTGCCTAGACTGGCTTTGAACTATGATCCTCAGATCTCTGCCTCCTGAATAGCTAGGATTATAGGTGTGAGCCACTAGCACCTGGATCTTTGCTTTTTCGAAACAAGGTCTCACGATATACCTCAAGGTGGCCTCAAACTTATGCTCAGGCTTCTGAGACAGAATTACATTCTGGAATACCTATATCCATCATCATGCCTATTTTTCCAAGTCTTCTAAAACAGTATTGTTTAGAAAAGGCTTTCCACATTTTATTTGACAAGACTAGATAAAGAAATGAAAACTAAGGAGAAAGGGTAACTAAGGGAAGGGGTAACAAGTTTGACAAGAAATGTACTCATTACCTAAATGTAACCTCTCTGTACATCACCTTGACAATAAAAAAAATTTAAAAAGAAATGAAAATGACATTGAGATTCTATTATTAAAACACCAGAAAATAATGAATGCTGGACAAAAGGAACCCTTATATACTGTTGATAAGAATGTAAATTAGCACAGCCACTATGGAAACTAGTATGGAAGGTACTCCAAACACTAAAACTAGAACTACCATATAACTGGGCTATATCACCTGGGTATTTATCCAAAAGAAATCTAAAATGATACCTATATGTTCATGTTTATTATGGTACTATACACAACAGCCAAGATATGTAAATAGCCTAAGTGCCTATTAATAGATGAGTGAATGAAGGCAAATGAAATTATTCCTTTTGCAGGAAAATGGATGAAACTGAAGATCATCATGTTAAGATAGCAAGCTGGGTGCTGGTGGCTCATGTCTATAATCCTAGCTACTCAGGAGGCTGAGACCTGAAGATCATGGTTCAAAGCCAGCCAGGGCAGTAAAGTCTGTGAGACTCTTATCTCTAATGAACCACCAGAAAACCGGAAGTGGCGCTGTGGCTCAAATGGCAGAGCACTCACCTTGAGCCAAAGAGCTCAGGGTCAGTGCCCAGGCCCAGAGTTCAAGCCCCACAACTAGAGGGAAAAACAAGAAAAAAGAGTCTCATGGACTTTTCTGCCCAGACTGGCTTTGAACAGTGATTCTCAAATCTCAGCCTCCTGAGTAGCTAAGATTATAGGAGTGAGCTGAGCCACTAGTGCCTGGGTAGTTCATCAATTTTTATAACTAAAATAGAAAAATCTAAGGAAAGTACCATACAGAGGCACTCAGCAAAAGGGATCTTTTTTTTTTTTTTTTTGGTCAATCATGGGACTTAACACTGGGCCTGGGTGCTATCCCTGCGCTCTTCAGCTAAGGGTAGCACTCTACCACTTGAGCCACAGGACCACTTCTGGTTTTCTAGTATGGTTTATTGGAGATAAGAGTCTCATGGACTTTCCTGCCTGGGCTGGCTTTGAACCATGATCCTTAGATCTCAGCCTCCTGAGTAGATAGGAGTACAGGCATGAGCCACCAGCAGCAAAAGGATCTATTGTTGAATAGTGCCTTCATTTATTATATAACACATAAAACGACTTAATATCACCAGAAGGTGACTATGATGATATAATTATAATGGAAACAAAACAAAGACACTATTAAATTCTAATAAAACAGTGATCTCAGCCTGAGGCCAGTATCCCTCATCTAAAAATTTGGCAATAGTTTTTGAAACAGAATTCTCAACACAAGGAATATGTTAGAGTGACACAGAAAGTTTGGCCATAGAAAATTGCCAAAGAGCTTTATTCACAATAAAGAAGGGTGTCCCCTTTTCTCTTTAGATGGATGAATCATCCTGGGAAAACTGCTGACACACAACCCCCCTTTTCTTTGAGCTCATTAGCTTTATTTTACTCAGTTTTCAGACTAACAAACTGAGTACGCTTTAGCTATTCCTGTAAACTAGGCAGCCAGTTACCAGACTGGTTTACAGATACCAGGATGGTTGATTGTCTTTAGCTGATCCATCATGAGCTCATGTCTGACTAGCCAAATTCCCAGGAAGGGTTGAAGCGATGTCAGAATCAGCAGTCTTTCATAGGAGCTGGGTAGTGAGGGGATTCTAATCTCCATCTTTCTGTCTTTGCACATTCTGAAATTCCAAACAATAGGCCCACCACCTTAGTCAATCTTTTTTTTTGTGGGGGCTGAACTCTGGGCCTGGGTGCTGGTCCCTCAGCCTCTTCAAGGCTATTGCCCTACCACTTGAGCCACAGTGCCACTTCCAGCTTTTATCTGCTTATGTGGTGCTTAGGAATTGAACCCAGGGCCTCATACATGCAAGGCAAGCACTCTTCCACTGAGCCAACTTCCCAGCCCACCTTAGTCAATCTTGTGGCTTTAGTACATAGCCTTCAAAGTAAGGAGAAATAGAAACTCTGAAGATTTCCTATTATTGCAAACAAAATATTTATATTCCTGTGAAATTCTTATGTAGAAACCTAATTCCCTTGCTGGGAATATGGCTTAGTGGTAGAGTGCTTGCCCTAGGTTCGATTCCTCAGTATGTAAACAGAAAAAAATCCCAAAGTGGTGCTGTGGCTCAAGTGGTAGAGTGCTAGTCTTAAACAAAAGAAGCTCAGGGACAGTGCCCAGGCCCTGAGTTCAAGCAAGCAAGCAAGCAAGCAAGGGAGGAAGGAAGGAAGAAAACCCAATTCTAACCAGGCACTGGAGGCTCATGCCTATAATTCTAGCAACTCAGGAGGCGAAGATCGGAGGATCATGATTTGAAGCCAGTCCAGGCAGAAAAACTCAAGAGACTCTTATCTCCAATTAATTTCCCAAAAAAAAAAAAAAAAAAAAGCCAGAAGTAGAGCTGTGGTTCAAGTGGTAGAGTTCTGGCCATGAGCAAAGAAGCTCAGAGAAACCACTTAGGCCCTGGATTTAAGCCCTAGCACAGACTGACTGACTGTGTCTGTGTTTGTCTATCTGTCTCTGACACACACACACACACACACACACACAGAGATAGACAAAACTCTAATTGGAAATGGTATCAGGATATAGGGTCTTTGGGAAGTGATTAGATCATGGAAGTAGTGCCGCATGGATGAGATTAATGTCCTTGTATGAGACCCTAGAGAAAGCTTCCTTCTTTCATTCTTCCTCCCGCCATAAGAAAACACCAAGAGAAAACAGACATCTACAAACTAGACCTCTCACCATGTATCAAATCTGCTAGCACTTTTATTTTAAAGTTCTCTATCTTCATCGCTGTGAGAACTAAATTTCTGTTTATAAGTCACCCAGTTTATGGTATTTTGTGATAGTGGCACCTTTGCTTAGGCAGCAGCCTTCTACTTGCAAGAAGCCCCCAATATCTGAAGTGTATACTGAGAAGCCCTGACAAGAAGCAGCCCATACATGAGGTGTGTGACGCAATCACATACTTCCAGCGGGATAACAAGGATTACATAGCAGTCTAAAATCCGATCTTCCAAATGATAGCAGTCATACAAACCTGAGCCAGTTCCTGGCAGTGTAAACTGCATGGTTGTCAAATCAGTAGCATTTTCTTGCAAGAAGTACCAAAGCAAATTGAAATATGTGAAAAGTCAGATCCAGATTATAGCGATCCATACCTTAAAAATATTCATTAATTAACCTAAGGTTTCATGCCTCATATTACTGTGGCTAAGGTACTTAGAAACTGTCTAAACAACGAATAGAAAAAAAGCTAAAAGACCATTATAACAAAAATATTTTCTAAACTGTTACCTGATCAAGGTTTTTGAAAAGGAGAATATCTTTGCAAGCGTCCTGAAGTCTGCATCTCTGCTCATCAGTTTTAGGATGAACCACCTGTCGATCCAAACAAAGTCAGGGAAAAGTTCTTATTCCACTTAAAAATCATCCACTTTTGGGCTGGGAAGGTGGCTCAGTGGTAGAGTGCTTGCCTTGCATACATGAGGCCCTGAGTTCTATTCCCCAGCACCACATAAGCAGAAAAAAGCCGGAAGTGGTGCTGTGGCTCAAGTGGTAGACCAACAACTGACCAAAAAAAAAAAAAAAAATCATCCACTTTTTTTTTTTTGGGTGGGTTGTGGGGCTTGAACTCAGGGCCAGGGTGCTGTCCCTGAGCCTCTTTGTACTCAAGGTCAGTGCTCTATCACTTGAGCCAAAGCACCATTTCCAGCTTTTGAGTGGTTAACTGGAGATAAGAGTTCCACAGAGACTTTTCTGCCTGGGTTTTCTTTGAACCATGATTCTTAGATCTCAGTCTCCTAAGTAGCTAGGATTACAGGCATGAGCCACTGGTGCCTGGCAAATCATCCACTTAAAAAAAAGGATTTCTTCCTTCTGAAAAATTTATAAAAGAAATCAAGAGTCTGTTTTCTATAGATTTAATTCTATACAAATAACATGGTGAATGTGTAGAGGCAAAAAAAAAAAACGTTAAGAGGCGTGGAAAGTGCTACCATGGCGCCACCTACTGGCTGCAAGGCTGGCAGCACATCTGCTATCCCAAGGGAGCCTCAAAAAGTCCCCAACTATTCCTTCAACAAACATTGACACCCACTCAGTACCAAGTACTAGCTCAGCTCTAGGGATAGAGCAGTGAACACATAGATAGAAATACTTGCTTCCCCATTCGATAAGTACATGAAGGTAGGTAGAGACTGATACTCATACTGAGAGGAACTTTTGAGTTATGTGTCAATGAGTGTGGCCAGGTGAGGCTCGTGGCAGATGTGTTAAGATCCCAAGGAAGTGAGTACAACCTGAGGGAGTGAGTCATGTAGATCAGATCTCTGTGGGAAGAGCAAGTGAAAACGAGGCTTTCTTGTGGGAGAGTGAGTAATGAGGAGACAGAGTGACTGATTCGGAATGAGATGGATGGGCTGGAGGTGTAGTGCAGGTGGTGGTGTGCCAGCCAAATAGTGAAAGTGTCAGATACCAAGTCTGAGTCCCAATCTCAGACAAAAAAAAAAGAAAGGAAGGAAGGAAGGAAGGAAGGAAGGAAGAAAGAAAGAAAGAAAGAAAGAAAGAGGGGCTGGGAAGGTGGCTCAGTGGTAGAGTGCTTGCCTTGCATGCATAAGGCCCTGGGTTTGATTCCCCAGCACTATATAAGCAGAAAAAGCCGGAAGTGGTGCTGTGGCTCAAGTGGTAGAGAACTCTGGGCCCAGGCCCAGAGTTCAGGCCCCATGACTGACAAAAAGAGAGGTGGGGGGGATGTCAGATGCCTGGGCTAATTGGGGGAGAAGGATGCCCAAATCACAGAAAGTATTATAGGTGAAAGAACTGGAACTTTCTTCTAGCAATATGGGGCATATATTTCACACTAATGACCAAAGACAAGGTGTAAAAAAGGTGCGAGAAGGGATAGGTTAAGAGAGATGGGTGACAATGTTGTCGGACACTTTGTACTCATATACTGTTTTGTGGAATGAGAACTTCTTTGTACAACTACTTAAAGATTAAAAAAAAAAAAAAGATGTGACTGATGTTTTTGTGTCGTTTTTCTGCTAGTTCTGGGGCTTGAACTCAGGCCCAAGGCACTGTTCCTGAGCGTTTGTGCTCAAAGCTAGCACTCTACCACTTGGGCCACAGCTCTGCTTCCAGCTTTTTGGTGGCTAATTGGAGATAAGAGTCTCACGGAGGGCTGGGAATGTGGCTTAGTGGTAGAGTGCTTGCCTAGCATGAAATGAAGCCTTGGGTGTGATTCCTCAGTACCATATAAATAGAAAAGGCTGAAGTAGTGCTGTGGCTCAAGTGGTAGAGTACTAGTCTTGAGCAAAAGAAGCTCAGGGACAGTGCCCACGCCCTGAATTCAAGTCCCACACGGACTTTCCTGCCTTGGCTGGGATTGTACTGCAATCCTTGAATCTTAACTACGTAAGTAGCTAGGATGACAGGTGTGAGTCAGCCTGGCCTGATTTTTTTTTTTTAAAGGAATATATAGTTGCTAACAAGTAAAGAACAGACTAGAGATAAGCAAGAAGCTATGCTGATCATCTCAGGGCCAGATGACACCATGAAGGTGTTGACAAATACAGATTTCTGGAAATATGTCAAAGACAGGACCCATTAAATACATTAGAAATTGAATGAGGGTATGAGAAACATAGTGTTCACGGTGACCTCAAAATTATGGGTACAGGGCTGGGAAGGTGGCTCAGTGGTAGAGCGCTTGCCTTGCATGCATGAGGCCCTGGGTTCCATTCCTCAGCACCACATAAGCAAAAAGAAGAAAAAAGCCGGAAGTGGTGCTGTGGCTCAAGTGGTAGGGCGCTAGCCTTGAGCTGAAGAGCTGTAGTGTCCAGGCCCAGAGTTCAGGCCCCACGACCGGACTTAAAAAAAAAAAAAAATTATGGGTACATACAACTTAACCATGGAATTGTCATGAAGAAAGCTGGAAATGACTATGAGGTGGAAAACAATATTTAAAAGGAAATAATCAAAGCTAGGTACTGGCAGTTCACTCTTATAATCCTAGCTACGCAGGAGGCTGAGGTCTAAGGATTGTGGTTCGAAACCAGGCCAGGCAGGAGAGTCTGTGAGACCGATCTCCAATTAAACACCAAATAGCCAGATCCTCAGATTTCAGCCTCCAGAGTAGCTAGGATTATAGGAGTGAACTATGTTATGATCACTTTCAATGGCTGCAGATTCTCTTGATTTCAATGTAACCCAATTTAGCCCTAGGGAATCCCTTGTTCAGGGTCATTTTAGGTTGTTTCCATTTTTCATTATTACAACATGGCCATGATCTCCATTTGTACATCCTTGGAAAGGACCCAACTGTTTATTAGGGTAAGATTTTCCTTTAGGTAATTGCTGTGTCAGTTGGCTCGACTATGTTTAAGGGTTCTGCAGCTTCACCATACTTTCAACCATTCCTGCTTTCAATCTATTACATTAAAAAAGAATGCCAGGGCCAGTGGTTCACACCTGCAATCCTAGCTACTCAGGAGGCTGAGACCTGAGGATTGTAGTTTGAAGACAGCATGTGCAGAAAAGTCCCTGTGAGACTTTTTGTTTGTTTGTTTTGTGCCAGGCCTGAGGCTTGAACTCAGGGCCTGGGCACTCTCCCTGAGCTTCTTTTGCTCAAGGCTAGCACTCTATCACTTAAGCCACAGCACCACTTCTGTTTTTTTGTTTATGTGGTATTGAGGAGTCAAACCCAGGGCTTCATGCATGCTAGGCAAGCACTTTACCACTAAGCCACATTCCCAGACCCCTGTGAGACTCTTATCTCCAAATAACCACTCAAAAAAACGAAGTGGAGTTGTGGTTCAAAGTGATAGAACACTAGCCCTTGAGCAAAACAGCTTAGGGACAGCACTCAGGCTCTGAGTCCAAGCCCCTGACCATTACCACTACCATCACCAGCAGCAACAACAACAACAAAAAATGGCATCTCACTGAAATTTTCATTCATATTTAACTATCAGTACAATATCTAACTATATAGAGGAAGGAAGTTAATGGAAAATACAGCGATTCTTATGTGCCATGATTCTAAATAATACTTTTGCTTTTAGTTCTTACCCTTGGATCATTATCTTCCTCTTCTTCATCAGGGTTATAGGTCTCTGCACAGACTAAAAAGAGGGGGAAAAAAAAAGAAAAATATGAGTTTACCAAATGTATGGTTTTAGGAAAAATAGGAAGCAAACACTTTTCTTTTTGGTCGTTCGTGGGGCTTAAACTCGGCCTGGGCACTGTCCCTCAGCTCTTCAGCTCAACGTGTGCACTCTACCACTTGAGCCACTGTACCACTTCCGGCTTTCTGGTGGTTTATTGGAGATAAGAGTCTCACAGAATTTCCTGCCCAGGCTAGCTTTGAACCATGATCCTTAGATCTCAAACTCCTGAGTAACTAGGATTATAGGCATGAACCACCAGCGCCTGGCTACGTATTGTTCTCTGAAGTTAGAATGGTTGTATTTTGAAACATCGCTATGAAGCTCATATTTGCCTCCAACTATAACTCTCTGTCCTCTGTCTTCTGAGGGCTGGGGTTGTAAGTTGGCTTGAAAGTTATGAGGATCTTTTTAAAATTCCTTATTTCGAAGGCATTCTCATGAGGCACAGAAGAACCATCTCTTTAAAGACTGGTGATCCTAAATGGGAAACAAAGATATCAACTACTAAGTTCTATGGTAGTGGCAAATACAAACGTGACATTATCCTGCCTCTGATGAGTTATGAAGAAGGAATAAACAATCATGTAGTAATATATATATATATATATATATATATATATATATATAATGCATACACAAGAGATATGGAGGTAGTTACCAAAATAATCCATTAAAAGGGCTGGGAAGGTGGCTCAGTGGTAAAGCGCTTGCCTTGTTATGCATGAGGCCCTGGGTTCGATTCCTCAGCACCACATAAGCAGAAAAAAAAAGCCAGAAGTGATGCTGTGGCTCAAGTGGTAGAGCGCTAGCCTTGAGCTGAAGAGCTGAGGGACAGCGCCCAGGCCCAGAGTTCAGGCCCCACGACCAGACCTCCCCCGCAAAAAAATAATCCATTAAAATAGTTCAAAGACATTATGTACACAACTTAAAAAAAAAAAAAGAGATTGGGAGTCTTACTATCTTGTTCAGGCTGGCCTCTAACTCACGAGCTTAAGCAATCCTAAACCTTCAGCATAGCTGAGACTAATTCTTAGCTGCTCAGTGGTAGCTAAGAATTTTAAAACAAGGGCTGGGAAGGTGGCTTAGTGGTACAGTGCTTGCCTACCATGCTTGAAGTTCTGGGTTCGACTCCTCAGTCCCACATAAACAGAAAAGTTGGAAGCAGCACTGTAGCTCAAGTGGTAGAGTGCTAGCCTTGAGCAAAAGAGGCTCAGTAATAGCACCCAGGCCCTGAGTTCAAGCCCAGGGCTGGCAAAAAAAAAAAAGCTTTCAGGAAATAGAAATAGATGGGTACATGAGTATTATACTTTGTCTACCTTGGTTTACATATGAAAATTTTTATTTAAAAGGCTGAAAATTAGCTGGCAGTATGGGTAGTGGTAAAGTGCCTAGAAAGCACAAGGTCCAGAATTCAAACACTAATATCACCAAAAAAAAAGTTAAAAAAATTAAAGCTTAGCTGAGTGCCAGTAGCTCACACCTGTAAGCCTAGCTAATCTGAAGATCATGGTTCAAAACCCAGCCTGGGCAGGGAAGTCTGTGAGCCTCTAATCTCCAATTAACTGAAAACCAGAAGTGGCATTGTGGCCCAAGTGGTAGAGTGCTTGCCTTGAAATGAAGAGAGCAGGGACAGCACCCAGGCCCAGAGTTCAAGCCCCACAACTGACAAAAATAAATAAATAAATAAAAATGAATAAATAAAATCTTATGGTGGGTGCTGGTGGCTCATGCTTATAATCCTAGGTATTGGGGAAGCTGAGATCTGAGGATTGTGGTTCAAAGCCGGCCTGAGTAGGAAATTCCATGACACTCTGACCTATCTCCAATTAACCACCAGAAAACCAGAAGTAGAACTGTGGCTCAAGTGGTAGAACACTACCCTTGAGTGGAAAAAGCTCAAGGATAGCACCCAGGCCCTCAGTTCAAGCCTGACAACCGACCAAAAAAAAAAAAAGAGAGAGAGAGAGTGCTCTTGGGTTTGATATCCAGTACCATCCCCCCCCACACACACACAATGAAAGTAATTTTTTGTTTTTGTTTTTTTTGGACAGTCCTGGGCTTCTTTTGCTCAAGGCCAGCACTGTATCTCTTGAGCTACAGTGCCACTTCTGGTTTTTTTCTGTGTATGTGGTACTGAGGAATTGAACCCAGGGCTTCAGGCATGCTAAGCAAGCACTCTACCACTAAGCTACATTCCCAGCCCAACAGTAGTTATTTTTATTAAAATCATTAACATGGAGCCATGTGTGGTGGCTGAACCAGTAGGATCATGAGATTGGGACTAGGCTGGACTGTATCTCATGAAACTATGTCTCAAAAAAGGTATTAAAACATTTATTAGGAGCCAGGCACCAGTGGCTTAGCCTTTAATCCTAGCTACTCAGGAGGCTGAGATCTGAGGATCATGGTTCAAAGCCAGCCTGTGCAGGAAAGTCCATGAGATTCTTATCTCCAATAAATCACTCAGAAAACTGGAAGGGATGCAGTGGCTCAAGTGGTAGAGCACTAGCCTTGAGCTGGAGAGCTGAGGGACAGAAGTCAGGCCCAGAGTTCAAGCCCCACAACCAACAACAACAACAACAAATTATTGGGACTAGAAGTATATCTCAGTTGTAGAATGAGCCTAACAAGCTCAAGGTCCTGATTTCAAACCCCAGTTCCAAATTAAAAAAAAAAAGTTTGTGGGGCTGGTAAGGTGGCTCAGTGGTAGAGCGCTTGCCTTGCATGCATGAGGCTCTGGGTCCGATTCCACATAAGCAGCCACCACAAGTGGCGCTGTGGCTCAAGTGGTAGAGCGCTAGCCTTGAGCTGAAGAGCTGAGGGACAGCGCCCAGGCCCAGAGTTCAGGCCCTGCGACCAACCAAAAAAAAAAAAAAAAGTTTATATTTTTGGAAAGACATTATGCCTTAATTCTCTTCCAAAAATGGTTCTGAATTTACTTCTCTTTTCTAGTTCTTTCTCTTTTTTTCCCTTATGGTAATAACACTTAATATGAGCTCCACCTTCATTACTTCCTAACACAGTACTGTATTGTTCTTCTTGCATAACCGAAACTTTATACCTGCTGAACAGCCACTCCCCAATTTCCCTTCCCACCAGTCCCTAGCAACCACCATTCTACTCTCCTAACTCTATGAGTTTGACTATTTTAGTTACTTGGTTTTTGCGGTGCTGGGGATCAAACCCAGGAGACTGTACACAAAAGCAAATGTTTTAGCATGGAACTATAACCCCAGTCCCTTGACTGTTTATAGAGACCCCACACAAATGTAAATTTGTCCTGTCACAGGCTTTATTTCATTTAGTCTAATGTCCTTTTAACCCTAACCTTTTTTGAACTTTCTCACTTCCTTCTGTCCTCCTCCTCTGTTCCCACCCAACTTATCTACTTCCTCTTGGTCCTGGTCCCAATTACTTCCCTCATTTTCTTTCCTTTCTTTTTTAATGTTGGAGACTGAACCCAGCACCTCACGCATGCTAGCTTATTTGACAATTAAGCTACTCTTGTAGCTACAAATCTCTTTTTTTAATTTTTTCTTTTTTGCCAGTCCTGGAGCTTGAACTCAGGGCCTGGGCACTGTCCCTGAGTTTCTTTTGCTTAAGGCTAGCACTCTACCACTTGAGCAACAGTACCTGTTCCAGCTTTTTCTGTTTATGTGATACTGGGAAATCGAACCCAGGGTTTCATGCATGCTAGGCAAGCACTCTACCACTAAGCCACATGCCTAGCCCCCCAAATCTTTTTTTTTTCTTTTTTGCCAGTCCTGGGGCTTGAACTCAGGACCTGGGCACTGTCCCTGAGCTTCTTTTGCTCAAGGCTAGCACTCTACCACTTGAGCCATAGCATCACTTCTGGCCTTTTCTGTTCATATGGTACTGAGGAATCAAACCAAGGACTTCATGCATGCTAGGCAAGCACTCTATCACTAAGCCAAATTCCCAGCCCCCAAACCTATTTTTAAGTGCCTACTTGATTCTTGCCCCAATAATTCTGCACACTTGTCTCTGTAGATATTACCCGACGAAGAAGGGCTAAATGATCCTCTATAAGACCTCAAGAAATTCCAGGCATGGTGGTACATACCTGTAATGACAGGACTTGGGAGGCTGAGGCAGGAGGAGCATGAGTTCAGGCCAACATATGCTACAAAGAGAGAATCTGGCTCCAAAAGTTAAAAATCTTCTAAAAAAAAAAAATTGCGCCATCTTAAGATACTCAAGACCTACTGAAAATGAAGATTGAAGCAAGCAACATGGTGCCTTAAGGAAAGTTATTTTGCGGTTTCCTCCAGCAGATGTCACTAGGGAGCAATGTGGTATCATACAAAAGGACAACAGGTTATCTGGCACAATTTCTTCCTCTGTGTGTGTGGGGAGAGAAGGGGGTGCATGAGCACATGAATTGGTCCTGGGACTTGAACTCAGGCCTTCTGTCCCTAGGGTTTTGTGCTCAAGGCTAGTGCTCTACCATTTGAGCCACAGCTCCATTTCCAACTTGCAGCTTTTTTTTTTTGGTCGGTTGTGGGGCTTGAACTCTGGGCTTGGGTGCTATCCCTGTGCTCTTCAGCTCAACCACCACTTCTGGTTTTCTAGCGGTTTATTGGAGATAAGAGTCTCATGGACTTTCCTGCCTGGGCTGGCTTTGAACCTTGATCCTCAGATCTCAGCCTCCTGAGTAGCTAGGATTACAGGCGTGAGCCACTGGCATCCAGTTTTTTTTTTTTTGGAGATAAGAGTGTCACACATTTTTCTGCCTGGGCTGGATCCTCAGATCTGAGTAGCTAGTGAGTAGCTAGGATTACAGGCATGAGCCACCGGTGCCTGGCTGCTTCCAAAAATTTAATTGATATTTGGAGATACTTTTATACAGAAATGTGAATCATTACACTTTACTCATTTCTACAAATAAATGAGCACAGATCTTGGTCAAGTCCTGAAGCCCTGTGCTATTCTACCAGCCCCCACAGACAGCAGACACAGCTTGGATCCATTAGTCAGCTAAGGGTGCCTAAACAAAATACCACAGATCAGTTGACATGAAGATAAGAAATTCACTTATTCACAGTTCTGGGGCTGATAGTCCACAATTAAAAAAAACAACGGGTTTTGGTGTTTCCTGGAGCTAGCAAAAACTAGCTTGCTTTCTGTGTCCTCACATTTTGCTATCTCTTTAAGGACAGTAGTCCTAATTGCAATAAGACCTCCATTCTTCCTTTTTTTTTTTTTTTTCCCAGTCCTTGGGCTTAAACTCAGGGCCTGGGTGCTATCTCTGAGCTTCTTTTGCTCAAGGTTAGCTCTGAGGAACTGAACGCAGGGCTTCACGCATGCTAGGTAAGCACTCTACCACTAAGCCACATTCCCAGCCCTACTCTTCTCTATTTTCATTTCACCTTCTTTCCCCTCCCCGCCCCCCGCCCCCAGTCATGGGGCCTGGGCACTGTCCCTGCACCTCTTTGTGCTCAAGGCTAGTACTTTACCCTTTATCACTTGAGACACACACAGTGCCACTTTCAGCTTTTTCTGAGCAGCTTATTGGAGTTAAGAGTCTCACAAGACTTTGCTACCTGGGCTGGCTTCCAACCACAATCCTCAGATCTCAGCCTTCTGAGTAGTCCAGTGTCTTTAATCACTTTTTTGTTCAAGGCTAATGCTCTACTACTTTAACCGTGTCGTGCAAGAGAGGCATTCATAGGGTACTTTTCTTCTGACAGCCTTGTCTAAGATGATCTCTAAAGCGAGACATAGAACAAGCTGAAGTAATATTCAGTCTGACCAGAGAATGCCAGTATTACCACTATATAACTGAGGAAACAATTCAAATGGCTCTAAATGGCAGCGAAGCTAATGCAGCATAATTTCAAATATCAAAAATACTTACAAAAAATTGCTTTCATTTGCCGTGTGAGGTTAAAATGTGTTTGTGACTTTAAGTATCACTATCCCACAATACTGTGAAATTTATGTAATCAATTAAAAAAATTTAAGAAATTATTTAAAAAATTGCTTTCATGGCTGGGAATGTGGCTTAGTGGTAAGAGTGCTTGTCTAGCATGAAGCTCTGGGTTCGATTCCTCAGTACCACATACACAGAAAAAGCCATAAATGGTCTGTGGCTCAAGTGGTAGAATGTTAGTCTTGAGCAAAAGAAGCTCAGGGACAGTATCTGGCCAAAAAAAAAATTGCTTTCAGAGGAAATTTTATAATTTTAAACATTATAATAATGACAAATGGAAAAGCAAAGATTTTACGTATAATATAAACTATGTACAGATATTCTCTGAACTTAAAATGAAAACAAAATGAAGAAATCACAGATGATTTTCCTTTTAGCACAAGTGATAATACTATTTTTTGAGATGAGTTTATTTTCACTTAAAATTTCTTATTGTAAAATAGCTTAAAAGCTGTATGTTATAAAAGAGAAAACATACCTGATACTCGTCTATTAAATCTGGTAGGAATTGGAACTGCAAAAAGAAAAAAAAAAGCAACATTTAGTCATTATTAAGTCACAATTCCACTACTACCACCCTCTTTTTTTATTTGCCAATCCTGGGGCTTAAACTCAGGGGCTGGGCACTGTTCTTGAGCTTCTTTTATTCAAGGCAAGCACTCTACCACTTAAGCCACACCACCACTTCAGCCTTTTTTGAGTAGTTAATTGGAGATGAGAGTCTCACAGACTTTCCTAATCGAGCTGGCTTTGAACCATAATCCTCAGCTCTCAACCTCTTGAGTAACTAGGATTACAGGTGTGAGCTACCAGCACTGTTGTAAAATTCATTTTTTAAAAACCTTATAATTTTAATGTACTTAAGTTGGGTTAACTTTACTTCATGTTCTAATTTGTAAAATTCCAAATGAATAAGAAGTGTTCCAAGTTTACTATAATATCAAGTAATAAAAAATTTCTCTTTAAGCTGGGTGCCAGTGGCTCACACCTGTAATCCTAGCTACACAGAAGTCTGAGACCTGAGGATCATGGTTCAAAGCCAGCTTGATTAGGAAAGTCTATGAGACTCATCTCTAAAAAACAAACCACTAGAAAAATGGAAATGGTGATGTGGCTCAAGTGGTAGAGGGGTAGCCTTGAGCAGATGAGCTCAGAGACAGTGCCCAGGCCCACAGGTCAAGCCCCATGACCAACAACAACAAAAAATTTCTTTAGCAACTATCATCACTTCTATTTTATAGTAATTTAATGAGTATTAACTCAGTAAGATTAAAAATAATCATTTCTACTTTCTCAGATATGGGTGGGTTTTCTCCGGTCTTGGTCAATATATGTATCAGATAAACTTACCACTGATCTTTATGTTGGAAAATAATTTCTTACCTCTCTCTCATTTTTTTTAATCTGTTGTGGGGTTTGAACTCAGGACCTGAGTGCTATCCCTGAGCTTTTTTACTCAAGGCTAGTTCTCTACCACTGTGAGCCATGTCTTTACTTCTGGTTTCCTGGTGGTTAACTGAAGATAAGAGTCTCACAGACTTTCCTGCCAGAGCTGGTAATCCTCAGATCTTAGCCTCCTGAGTAGCTAGATTACAGGTGTGAGCCAGTGCCCAGCTTGAAATGGTAATTTTAAAAGACACAATATTCAAAAGAGACCTCATTCAATCTATAAATAAAGGTTTTGTCATAGGTTCTAAAATTATAAAATGTCAGCATTACAGAGTATCTATGAAGTCATCCAGTCTGGCTATGTAGCCAGCAGGCCTCCATTCACATGGCAGCTCTAACTGATGTCACCAGTCCACCTGACTCATCCTGGACTCATCTTTCACTACTTACATCTACTTCATTAACGAATCCATCTGCTCTCCCTCCCACTTCCTCTTGAATCTATCTTCCTCCATTCTCTATTGTTAGTCTAGTCAGAAGCACATCATTTTTTTTGCCAGGCTTCCCACTGCCAATCCTGCCCTACAATAATCTGCAGTCATCAGAGTAATCTTAGCATTTAAGAGGACAATTTGACAGTCTCTGTCAAAATTTTGCTTTTCTCTTTTTCTTTCTTTTTTTTTTTGTCTATCATGGAGCTTGAACTCTGGGCCTGAGTGCTGTCCCTCAGCTCTTCAGCACAAGGCGAATGCTCTACCACTTGAGCTACAGGGCACTTTCAGTTTTCTGGTGGTTTATTGGAGATAAGAGTTTCACAGACAGCCGGGCGCTGGTGGCTCATGACTGTAATCCTAGCTACTCAGGAGGCTGAGATCTGAGGATCTCGGTTCAAAGCCAGCCCTGGCAGGAGAGACTGTGAGACTCCTATCTCCAATAAACCACCAGAAAACCAGAAGTGGCGCTGTAGCTCAAAGTGGTAGAGCGCTCACCTTGAGCTGAAGAGCTGAGGGACAGCGCCCAGGCCCAGAGTTCAAGCCCCACGACCGACAAAAAAAAAAAAAAAAAAGAGTTTCACAGACTTTCCTGCCCAGGCTGGCTTTGAACCGAGATCCTCAGATCTCAGCCTCCTGAGTAGCTAGGATTACAGGTGTGAACCACCGGCACCCAGCTTTCTGTCAAAATTTCTAAGTATTAACTGCCTTTAACCCAGGAACAATTTCACTTCTAGGAATACGTGCTAAGCAAAACTCATATGTATATATTCACACTTACACACACTGAAAGAAACACACACACATACATACATATATATATATATGGCTATGTATGTGTACTATCACTATACATATAAAAATGTATACTTAAGTAAATGTATATCTACCATGATTGCTAACATATTGTATGGAATAGCAAAGAAGCTTAACAAAAATTGTCTATGGGCTGGGAAGGTGGCTCAGTGGTAGAGAGCTTGCCTTGCATGCCTGAGGCCCTGAGTTCGATTCCTCAGCACCACATAAGCAAAAAGAAAAATGCCGGAAGTGGCGCTGTGGTTCAAGTGGTAGAGCGCTAGCCTTGAGCTGAAGAGCTGAGGGACAGTGCCCAGGCCCAGAGTTCAGGCCCCACGACCGGACCCAAAAAAAGAAAAAAAAATTGTCTAGAATAAATTAAAGAATGTTGGTCCAGTTGGGTACTACTATACACCTAGCTACTCAGGAGGCTGAGATCTGCAGATCCTGGTTCAAAGCCAGCTCAGGCAGGAAAGTCCATGAGACTCTTATCTCCAATTAACAACCAGAAAACTGGAAGTAGAGCTGTGGCTCAAATGGGTAGAACGCAGGCCTTGAGCAAAGGATGCTCAGAGCCAGTGCCCAGGCCCTGAGTTCAAGCTCCCTGACCCCCCCCAAAAAAAAAGTTGGTGCAGCTAGAGTGTACACATCTATAGAGCCATTAAAATGGCTACAGTAAGCTGGATGACTGGCTCACATCAGTAATCCTAGCTACTCAGAAAGTTGAGCCCAGGAAGATTGTGGTTCTAGGCCAGTTTAAGAAAAACAGTTTGTAGACTCCATCTCAATACTATAAGGAAAGTGTGGTGTGTACCCATCAACTTAGCTATGACAGAAAGCATAAGAAGATCACAGTCCAGATGGGGGCTCAAGCAAAAAGAAAAAGTCTATGTCAAAATAATCAGTTCAGGCTGGGAAAGTGGCTCAGTGGTAGAGTACAAGCCTTGAACTGAAGAGCTCAGGGACAGTGCCCAGGCGCAGAGTTCAGGTCCCACAAATGAAAAAAGAAAAAAAAAGTATTGGAAGAATGGCTCAATAGTAGAGCACTTGCCTAGCAAGCATGAGGCACTGAGTTCAAGCCACTGTAATGTCTGCCCTCTCTCTGCCCACCACCAAAAAAAAAAAAAAAAGAATGCCATAAACCTACAGAAACTGATATGGGAACGACCATCGAGATACACTGGTATCTGAAAGCTGCATATCAGTTAAAAAGTTACAAATATATTTTTTTCCGGTGGTAGAGGGAATTGAACTCAGGGCCTTGCATTTTCTAGGAAGGTACTCTACAATTTGAGCTACGCTTCCAGCCCTTTTGCTTATTTTTTGAATAGTATCTCACACTTATTGCCCACGGCCAGCCTGGTACTTGATCCACCTATTTACACTTCCCATGCAGCTGAAATGTCAGGTGTAAACCATCACACCTAGCTTTAGTAGTTGAGAAGTCTTTCAAACTTCTGTCCAGGCTAGCCTCAAACTGTGATCCTCCTCCCACCTAGATCTCCTGTCTGACAATGTCATGAAACTCCTTTTCCTACTGACCCTCCACTGCTAAACCCTCCACAGGCTTACTTTAAAGGACTATTATTTAGAATTTTCTGTCACACATTTAACCTCCTCCCCCCAAATACCAGGACTTAAACTCAGGACTTCAAGCTTGCTTGGCTTGCTTGCTAGACTGGTGCTCTAATCCTTGAATCATGTCTCCAGCTTGGCTTTCTTTTTGTGCCATTCCTGGGCTTGAACTCAGGCTCTGGATGCTGTCCCTGAGCTTTTCTGTTCAAGGCTAGCACCTGAGCCACAGCTCTACTTCAAGCTTTTTAGTGGTTAAATCTTATGGACTTAAGAGAATCTTCTCATACACTTTCCTTACCATGTTGGTTTCAAACTGCAATCCTCAGATCTCATCCTCCTGAATAGCTAGGATTATAGGTGTGAACCATTGGGGTAAGCCTTAGCTTTTTGCTGGTTATTTTTGAACTTCGATCCCCTGGATCACGGCTTCCAAAGTAGCTAGGATTTCAGGCATGAGCCTCTAGTGCCTTTAAGCCTTACCTAAAGCTTAATAAATCAATAGCAAACTCTATCTAGATAGCAAAGAACAGTTAATTGTGGAGATAAAAATACAACAATAATAAAATGTATGTGCCAGGACCTGATGTAAATACTTTATAG